TTTTTTTTCTTCTTTTTTTTTTTTTTTTTTTAAGAAGTACGTCTTAATCGAATATTATCGCGTTATATACGTTCTTGTAATTAAATTGATTTCGATCGAATTAATTGAGAGATCGTAACGCTTGTTTGCATTGAGAGATACGTGCGTGCGTTGTATCACGAAAGACTGATATATTCAATGAACTTTCGACGAGTGGAAATGTTACTTTTCAGAGAAGATTGGAAATGAAATTTCTCGAACGAGAGAATAGAGAAGATTTTGTGCTTAAAAATATATTTATAATTTTTGATCCTGAAGATTTGGAAGAACAAATGAAATCTAATGTAATAACTCTTTTTTCATGCACGATCAACTTTCTCCTAAGTTTGTTGATGTTTTATATATGTCCAGTCTACTCTACATGCAATTTTTTTTTTTCAAAAAGCTTTTGAGAACTTTCACGATAAATCGAACTCGATTATAATATTTGAATTTGTAAGAGAAAGTTTTAACATTTATATCGAGTAGAAAAGAAATACTTGTAAGTAAATACTTAGAAGAAGTAAGAAGATCTCGTGAAAGTGATGACATTTATACAGCAACTGATTACAGATCATAAAATTATGATTAGCTTAACTCGTGTGTTCAACCTTCGTTTTTATCTTGTGAAATTGAACGAAGAGAACTTCTTCTGTTTAATTATACTTCGATCCGACACAATTTCACTACAAAAAAAAAAAAAAAAAAGAAGCAATCTATATCTATCAAGACTATCTTTTCTTTTTTTAAATTTCATTGATAACGAAAGAAAACTTTAAGAAAAAAATAAGAACGAGAGAGAGAAGAAACGATTTTCGTTTAAAATTCTAAAATTGAATAGGAATAAAAAAAGATTGCTCTCGGGTAAATAAGGAAAGATGAATGATGATAATCCCATTTCAAACCTGAACCCTGCACACGTGAACTCGTGAACACTGTGTTACACTTTCTCGTGAACAACTGAGCACTCCAGAATTTTCGTTACCCAGAACTGGCCCTCACTCTCTTCC